GGTCTCCCTCATGGAACTTGCTCTCCAGTGGCTGCTTTGTCGCCGGCAATATAGTACAGTAGTAGCTATTGTCCGCAGTCCGCAGGATCAAAAAGGGTTGCCTGGATTAGACAGCTGTTGGCTGTCCGTCATTGGAAGCACCTCAAGTCCAGTCAACTTGATGGACTGCTTCAAACAACGGGTTTCGGACGCTCGCTGGAGAATACCGTTAGCAGATTTCTTGCCAAGGTCGGCGTTGACTACGTTACGTTGATTAGACCGAAATTGTTGTTCTTGTAAGTTCCTCTCCTTTCGTGTTGCTCATTGGCAACTGCATGTGATCGAATCGAATTAATGGTTGGAATTGGTTTGCCATCTCAGCTTGGAACAACAGTCAGCGCAACTTACTTCCATTGACAGCCGTTCCACACCAAGTGAATGGGGAACGTGCGGCAATGGTAAAGCTTAGTACATCTCGATTGGTTGTTTTCTGCCTCCACGGACTTGATGAACCTGATCTATCGTATGTACGAGGATTTGTGCATACAGGAAAATCGGTACCAACACAGGAATCACCACCAAAACACCAGGAAATAACAAGGTGAGATGAATCCAACAGAGGATCCGCTTTCCTTTGTACGTGCAAGTTGTCGTGTAGCGGAGGTCCTTCTCTGGTTGACTGCCTCTCCTCCTGTTTGTTATCCGTAGCGATCGACCGAAAGGGACTCGACAATAGTATTTCTTCGGCCGTCAGCAGTAAGAGAATAGAAAGTAAGGCATAGATATGGTTTCCTCTTCTATTCTGATACTGCAGAAAACCGGCGACTTGCTCTTGTTTTTCAAATTCCACCACCTTGACTGTCATGGGCCGAGAACTGACTGCCATCCCATGGTCCATAAAATTCGATGAGGGATGGTTTTCGAATCAACACCGGAGACTGCGGGATTGATTGAGGCTTGATACCGGTACCAGTGCCAGTATAACAGCCGTGCCGGTACCAGGTACCTGTAGTAGAGGTGCGACTTCATTTCTTTTATGGGTATGGTAGAGGCGTGACCTCATTTTTTTTAATTGATGCCAATGGCAAAAGGACACCACTCTTGTTGGTCAAGCTAGGATTTTTCTCCTGTTTACTGCAAGCATTCAATGAGGGAGAGAAGTCAGTGTAGCAGTAGCGATCGATCCATGGACTGAGGGTGTCAACCATTGTGTTGGTGCTGTCATCATTCAGCCAGGCTGCTGGTGTTATTGAGAAGGGCAGTAGTGTTACTGGTAGCAGTGATACCGGTAGGCAGTAGCGGCCAAAAGGATTGGAGGCATCAGTCTCCTCTGCATGACGCTGTGATGAGAAGTCCGCGTGGAGCCTGGTAGCAATTCTACCCAGTGAAAAAGGGCAGCTATTGGTCGCCGTAAAAACACAAATCTTTGGAAGACCAACCTGGAGAGGGTTGGCGATAATACAGTATCCTGTACTGTTGGTGTCTTCTTCGTCGTCAAGGATCTTCTCGGTTTCCTTTTCTCCTACATGCAGCTAGCTCATTCCCGCATTTGTTCGTCGCCACATGCGGTATCATTTCCATTCCTATCCCTCACGGATGTAGTTCATTACCGCTGCTCGTCGGTTAATAAAGTACCACCCCAAAAAAATCCTGCGGGGAGATTGTAGGCGTTTTGCAAAGCAGCAATTGCAGCACCATTCATAGCGAAGACAGCAGCGTGGCTTGCCGGGAATGTTGCTGGTGCAACACCCATGGCATTTGGCCCAGGCTGCTCAACAAGCACTGGATCCCACTCTCCGTGTCGGTTACGCTCCCGGATACGAATGTTTCGCAACATCGCCGTAACTGCACCACCCCATTCATTTTTAGAAAGACATTATTCATACATGTATAAGCTACAGTATTTCCATCTGCCATGAAAATGATTCATTCGATTCGTAGCGTGCTCACTTACCACTATTCGTCGAGTTGTTGACAGTGGTCGCCAAGTTGTTGACAGTGGTCGCCAAGTTGTTGACAGTGGTCGCCAAGTTGTTGACAGTGGTCGTCAAGTTCGCAACAGACGCCAGAACTGCTCCGTTGCCCATTCCATGGGCCGCCTGCGCCTCAAAAGTCTCGAGAGCCACAAGACGGCGGCGACTCGCCTTGACTTCATCTTCGGTAACGCTATTGGGGTCACGATCACGCAAGCGCTTTCGATTGGAATACTCGATGGCCGCATCTTCCACTTGACCATCAAAATTCTCGCCAACATTGATCGCGGGAGCTCGGTTGTCACGGGGATCCCCGCTTCCAAGGATCCCGCTCTGAGGGACGGCAACCGGAAAGTTCATTGTTGCAGCAACAAAGTTCTTGATGTCTTTTCGCGCCTGTGTAGAGCCTACCGACAGGGGGTCAACAGCACCACAATGTAGCTAGCCAGTTTAGTCTTGGTTTGCTAGTGACTCAATCAAGGAAGAAGGGAAAAAAACACAAGTCCTCTGCATCAACAGCAAACAGTGTTGTTGTTGTTGCCATCTCCTTGTGATTACTACTAGCTAGTAGTGGTCATACCATCTACCACTACTCCACAAGAAGAAGCTGCTTGATTCAAAGTGCTTCCACTGTAAAAATCAAATTCTGATCTGTACTGTATTGCATACTGTTTGATCAATGTAGTTTCCTGCTGCCCATACCGTTTACGGTTCATCGTGGGAACAATTTACTGTTTACCATTTACCGTTTACCGTTCATACATTGACTTGTTCAAAAGAGGACAATATCTGTGTACGATATACGGTTTACGGTTTTACAAATTAAAGTTGATTTACGATATACGATAAACGGTATCCTCCCTCCTGCAATGTTTCCAAAGAAGCAAGGCACAACCCAAAGCCACAGCAGATAAACGGTAAATGGTAAACAGTACACAAAATAATTGAAACGGTACACGGTAAACCGTGTTGAATTCTCTTTACAAAAATAAAAAGGTAAACGGTATACTGTTTGGGCTGGCCAGATGTGCACATTGTATACCGTATACCGTATCCGCCACCTCATTGGTGATGACTAAATTTTTAGGCAGAAGTGGGTGGGCCTGCTACATTGTGGTGCTGTTGACCCGCTGTCTACCAGGTACAGTACAGGACCTCTGTGGAAACGTCATTCGTGGCAAATTACTTAGGAGACGATACACCGAGGCTTAGGAGACGATCGAAATGATTTAAGAGACGAAAGCAATTCGTCTCCTATATTTAGGAGACGATTCATTAGGAGACATTCCATTTAGGAGACGATCGTTTCGAAATAGGAGATGATCCGAAAGATTTAAGAGACGATACCATACAGTTTACATGGTGCACTTAGTAGACGATCCGTTGAGAATAGGAGACGATCCGTTGAAAATAGGAGACAATTTAAGAAGAGACGAAAGATTTAAGAGACGATCCGTTTCCTCTCCTATTGCCCTCAACGGTCTGAGGGTCTTTCACACTTTTATCGCTGTATGTGTATGTGTGTGTGTGTGTGTGTAGGTGTGTGTAGGTGTGTGTACGTGAGTGTTGTGTGAGATGTGTGGTGTTGTGTGAGATGTGTGTAGATACTACTAGGAGTTAATCTACGATGAATCTACCATTGGATGTTTATCCATGGGGTATACCGTTGCTTGCTGATTTCCAAATTCTGAGCTTAAGAATTTCGCTGTTTGCTTCATCAGTGGAGCAAGCTGGGGATGGCAAGAAATACAAGCCGGGTAGGCTGTGAGAAAAGCAAGGGTACCCTGTTTGTGGTAATTTCGAAAATAGACACATAGGAGCTGGTACGGTATAGACCGAAACCAAGCTAAACTAAACCGTAAATCCAATACCTCGATGGGCTGGATGTGTGGGTGTGGGTGTGTGGGTGGGTGTGGGTGTGTGGGTGTGTGGGTGTGTGTGCCATGGCTCCCCGACAAGCCTCTAATCGAGAAAGGATGAGATGGGGGAGCCATCTAATTCTGGAACCTTCCTGTAGGACAGTAGGTTACCAAGGTTGGGGGGCCTGGAGTAGGCTACAATCATCCTATCCAGTCCCATTGGCATGTTGCCTCGCATGGGGCCCACTGTGTGTGGTGCACTACGCTAAAAGCTAGTGTAAAGATCTTTCGAGTGTTTTGAGTTTGAGAGAATGAAAGTTATGAGAGGATTAGAAAGCTATGAAAACTAATCAACGAGAGAGATCACAACAAAGGATCGTAGATCTGAACTCCCGCGGGAGACTGTAGAGTGTGATAGAGTAGGTGTGGTAGACATCCTACTCGCTCCACGATCCAAAAACGGAACGCGTAAGATTCGTCTACATTTATTAGTTTCGTGAAGTACTCCACGCGCTAAATACTAGGCGATGTTTCCTCATCAACCTAGTATGACTAGAGCGGTAATTAGAACCCTGTCTCAATATATATTCACGAGGACTCGTATGAGTCGAACTCAAACCCTATCTAGGATCGAGTCGCAATAAGGGTAAGAGACGTGTATTGCATTCGCCCCCTGACAAGGGTCACGGAAAGCACGACATCAGTCGGACAAGGAGAACATATGAATTAAAGTGCGGGGCATACCTCCGGAGATTGGATGTATAAATGTGCGTCGCACGATGCAATCCTACAGGGGGATCAGAGGCCTGTATGGGTGTAAATATCTTATGTTCACAAGTATGGAGACTGTAGCCGCTAACGGGTCGTAGTATGTCGGAAGCCGTAATCAGTGCCATTGTTAATTGATCTGGATCTGTGTGGTAAGGACCTTGTCGTTGCTGAACGTACTAACGGTTCTGATACTGATTAATCATCATAGCATCGTTGACATGGGTTGACGAGGGGACACGTGTCGTTTTCTCCTTATCGATGTTTTTTGCTGGATAAGTCGTTGGCGACGTTCCTTGATGGATTTCCGGTTTGCTTTTAAACCGATGTGGTGAGTCTTGTCAAGATTGACGCGCTTGAACTTTCGACGAAGTCCATGTTCAACCCGGAGATTCTACTTGACCTCTGCACGGACTCAACGTTCTTCTATCCCATGACAGCGGTCATGGATACTGGTAAACTCGTCTGCTTCAGAACGGTGGTTACTTCATCTGCTGTCTTGGAGCAGCCCTTGGTAGTTCGTTGGTCCAATGAATCTACGAGGTTCTTTCCTGTTAGTAGGAAGAGCGATAGCCGGATCGCATCTGTTATCTTTTTAGTTAAGGGTTGGCTTCCTTTTCGAGTAGTCCAACTGTCTAGATAAGTCGGTTCTTCCTTTCGAGGAAGGCCTTTGGTAGTGTTGATTTCAACCCCGACTTCTTGAAGTCTTTGGAAAGGGTCATCTAACTATTCAACGTGATCCGTCAGATCGACGTTAGTTAGGATGAATTGATCATCAATGTATGCACGGACATTTTCTAAGTCATGCATGCGTGTTGTCATCTTCCTTTGGAAGATGTCGGACTATTACATAGGCCATTGGCAACCTCTGTTACTTGTTTTTCCCTTCGGGAGTGCCATGGTACAGTTTTGCTTCGAGTGAGTTGGACAGCTCGATGTTGTAGGGTCCCGGGTTCAGGTCTAGACCAGTGGTTGCACTTGAATCCATTTAGGTTCCAGAGCATGTCCTTTATTTTTTGGATAGGATAAGGCTTTTCCGCTTGATCCCTTTGTTCGGTTCCCGAAATCAGAGATGAATCGTATCGATCCATCTTTCTTGGGAATGATATATGTTGGTGCCGCCCACTTGAAACGATTCACCTTCTTGGAGTACTCCTGCCTTGCATAGACGTTCAACCTCCATCATAAGAGTGTTGGTATGGAAAAGTGGAGTAGGGTGAGCCCAAGTATAATAGGATTTAGCGTCGGGACGAAGTTCTACCCCGTAGTCGTCCATTTGCAACTCTCCCGAAGTACCCTCGACTGGGTTTTGAAGCACTTGTTTGAGAAGGCATGAGGCAGTCTTTGCTCTTCCTTATTTAAACGGGTTTCGACTCTGGCACAACTGCCTTAAGTCTATTTGTCCGTATGTTGTCTGTATTCAAGAATCTTCTTGAGATGATCTGCAGTGTCGCTGACAGTTGCAGGATCAAGAATGGAGAAGTTCTCCTTTGTATTGTTATTGCCATCTTCGCAGGGAAAAATGCGCTGTGGTTCCACCCTTATATGCAACTGGCATTCTTAGTAAAAAAACATAAAAATGCGCTACGATGAATGTGTAGTTGCAGGAGAACGATTAGGCGCCCGCTGTTATGCGCGTTGCAGTGGTATTTATTATGTGGTGCGGCTTGGCAGTGTCGTGTAGCTGTGGTTATGTAAGTGTGGAATCACTGCCGAACTGATCGGTCGCGAGATCTTGGCCCAAGAATTGACAGGATTCCAAGGCAAAATGGCCACATGTAGTCTTTGCATTGCTGCTTTCAGTGGAGCCTTTAGCGCAGGTTGCGGCCAAAGCGCTGCCACGCCATCAGCAATCGGCGAGATCCCGTACTCACTTACGAAACCTCCAGCAGATCATTATTAAAGATTACGAAGATCGACTTTTGGAGAAGTGCTTAGCGTCGGGCAGGAACTATTGGGACGAAGCGTGGAATGGTACGGATCTCATTGACCATATTTCGATTCCTACTCCGGTACGCATTGGATGGCCGGTGTCTCTTTCCGTCGCATCATCGCACAGGACACATATGTCGCATTACTCAGAGCGGCTCTCCTGGTGTTTGGAGAACGGTGGGTAGTGGCATTTTGTTTCAGACTTATTCGGTTTTGGACGTTTGTTATGCGCGGCTACATTTGCGGAGAATTTGGAAGCGGCAAGGCGTTGTTTTCCATTAGATAATTGGTGAGATCCGCCCCATGCCCAAAAGCATTTGCAATGGGCATTGCGGTGCAATTGAGATCTGCGTCTTATGAGTAAGAAGAGGGTGGTGATTCTATGCCATTGATGGTTGTGCTCGAGTGGTACTCTGTCGAGATGTAGCTTTCCTAAGTTCTCTGTTGGTGAGGACAGGTATGTGTATCCGATATCGCTCCTACGCGGTTCTCGCTGTTCTGTTGCTGTGCTTATGATTTGGCTCGGTGATATCATAGATAAGCAATTAGCGAGAACATCTCATTCCCCTTTTTGCGCAGTATTGTGGACGGTAATGGTCATTGGGTCGGCCGTGTCTCCATGGCGATTAGAGTTCGACAGTAGTGGAACACTGGAATAATAGATATGGGAGGTCTTAGTTAAGGATTCTACGATTACATCTCGTTTGTCTGACGAGGAAAGTGTTGAATGGACGCACAGGACAGCTAACTAAGAGCATCTATCGATTTCCCCAGCTCATTGGTTTCGGTGCGTTGTGGCTCACTTGGCCCGCCTCGTTGGACGGTTTGCTTGCTGAGTTCATGGGACTGAGCTCTTCAGTTTTTTTTTGTCCTGCTGCCCTTTGTGGGTGGGGATCCTTCTCAGCGGTTCTGGTTTCCTTCTCGTGTGGGGTGCTTACTCCTGCTAGCAGTTGGCTGTGTCGAATTGCGCACGCGCCACTGGACGCCGCCGGCCATCTGGTCGGCTTGGTGTCGGTCGGTTTCTCTCTTTTCCGCCTCTCCGTTCGTTGCTCCTGCTTGTCGCCCTCGTTAGTCGCTCTCGGGTGTCTCGAAGTGATGCTTGTTTGCGCATGCTAGTTCCCGGGGTCCTTCCTGCGTCTCCCGATCGGGCTCCCTTCTCCTCACTCTGGGTTGGGCCCCTCGGTGTCCCTCTTTCTGGGAGTTCTCTTTTGCGCGGTGCGTGCCGAGTTCTTTTGGTTTGTCTGCCCCCTGGCCTCTGCTTTCTCCCGTGGTGTGTGCCTGTCTTCCTTCTGCGGTGGGTTGTTTTTGGCGTCGTTGGCCTTGAGTTTTCTTCCGGTGTTCCTCCGCTCTGCCGCTTTTGCTTTTTTTCGTTTGCTTTGTCCTCTTGTGTTGTTGGGGTCTGGTACGCTCGCCTTCTGTTTTGTTCCAGCTGTCTTGTTTCTTTTCTGTGGGTGGTTGATGTCGGTGTGTCTTGTTCCTGGCAGTGTTTTCTAGTTTCGTTACGTACGCACTGGCGGTGCGTGATGAGGCCTGCTCTCGTTTGCGTTTTCGTGCTTTGCCTCTTGGGGCCACCCGTTGTGTTTGTTCCTCGCGTTTTGTCCGGGGTTTCGTTTCTTTTGCGTGCCTCTCGCTCTGCTGGCTCCCGTCCTGTGCGCTTGTGCTGCGCGCGTGCTGTGGGCCCTCGCGGTCGTGGGCGTTCGGCCGGCGTATATTTCTTCCTCCCTGCGTGTGTCGTGGTCTCGGTGGTTTGTCTCCTGCCCCTGTCGTGTCGCTTGTGTGGGGTACGCGTGGGGGCTTCGTTGCAGGCTGTATCCTTTTTTTGAGTTCCGTTTTCGGTGTGGCGTCCGCGGAGTGTCCTCTCCGCGTGCCCCGCTCTTCTTCGTGTCTCCCTTCTTTGCTGTCTCCCCGTGCCTGTCTTCGCTCGGCCGGCCAGCTTGTTGTTCTCCTTCGCCTCGCTGATGCGTCTTGACTTGGTTGATGCGCGTGTCTTTTTGTCGTTTTCTCCGCGTTTCGCTGTTGGTTTTTCCCGCTTTGTTCCTGTCTCCTGGCTCGGTGGACCTTCGTTGCGGGTTTGGTGCCTGCCTTGGGTTTGGCTCTTCTTTTTTCTTATGTCTCTGATTTGCTTCTCTGACCTCTTCGCGTCCCCGTCGTCGTCTTCCTGGTACTCTTCCGGTTTGTGTGTCGCGTCCGGTTTGCTTCCTTTCCTGTCGTTTTCTGTTTGTCTGGTTTCTTTCGTTGTGGTTGGGCCTATGGTTTGGGTGTTGAGTCGCCGTTACGATTGTGGCGGCCTGGCCCCTGGTGCCTTGCCCGCAGTCTCGTCTGCTGCGCTCTTGCGCTCTGCTGCCGAGTGTCCCAGGGCTGTTCGCCCCGTCGTGCGTCGCTTTTGGAGTTTGCCCCTCGTTTGTCTCCTGTGTTGGTGGTGTGTTATCTCGGTTGTCCGTGCCATCAACGCTTCGTGCTTGTGTGTGGGCTTGGTGCAGCCCCGCCGGTCTCTTGTGTGGTGCTGTATGTCCGCAGGTGCCTCGGCCCTTAGGAGGCGCTCCGGATTCGCTGGGTGGTTGCGGCCGTTGCCCGGGCCCTGTGTGCCTGGTTGTATCGTTTCGCATTTGGGCGGGTCGCCTCGTTGCCGTTTTGTTCTGCCGTTGTCTTGTGTGTCGGTCCTCCTCCGCGTCGTTGTAGGGTGTTCTTCGTTTCTGCGTCTCCGGCCGTCTGTGGGGCTGTTGTCGCTACAGGTGGTTTCTGTTTGTGGGTTTTGTAATTTGGGTGTGTGTGCTTTTTGTTTTGTGTGCCACTTGGGTTGGTTGGTTCGTGTGGTGTTGGGTGGGTTGTTCGTGGGGTTGTGTTGTGTGTCCGGATGTGTGTGGTGTTGGCGAGGGTTGGAGTGTTTGTTTTGTGTGGTGGCGTTGTGCAGGTGGCTTAGTGCCAATGGGGTTGGTTCTGGGGAGTTGGGTTGGTGTGTTGGGTTGTGTGGGGTGTGTTGGCTTGGCTTGTGATTGATTTGTGGTGGCTTTGTTGTTGTGGATGATAGTGTTTTGTCTTGTATTGGTGTGCCCGGTTTTGTTGTTTGTTGCTGTTTGCTTTGGGGTTTGGGTGGTTTGGGCATTTCGTGTTGGGTGTTGGTTGTGCTTGGTTGTGTTTGGTGGGTGTGAGGGCTGTTTTGCGGGGTCAGGTAGGTCGTGGTGGGTGTGTGGGTGTGTGTTGTGGTGGTGTGGGTGAGTGGGGTGGGAGTGGGTTAGGGGTGGGGAGGGGGTGGGGGGGTGGTGAAGGGGGTGGGGGTTGAGGCGGGTGTGTGGTTGTGGTGTTTAGTTATGGATGGTAGTGTGAGTCTGGTGTCGGGTGCGAGATTTGTCGGTTCTATGTCGCGGCGTTTGTGCAGACGCAAGCTGAGGATTCAACCTACTGTGTATTCGAATCTTTCCCGATGGTTGTCGGGGATGAGCTCAGGAGCTTTGGTTCCCTTTCCTCAGATATCCTTGTACTCATACAACCAAAAACGT